ACTGACTCGGAAACCCAAGGAGGGGTCCCTATGATTAGGGGCCGACTTGATGGCACATAACAACAACAACAACAGAGTTCTTAAGGCGTCCTGTAGATGGCTCAGTGATTAAGCGCTCGACTGCTAATCAAAAGAGCCGCGATTCGAACCCACCATTCTCTCTGCCAGAGAAAGCTCTGGCACTCTGCTTCCGTGAAGAATGACAGCCTCGGAAACCCCACGGGGCGGTTCCACTCCATCCTCTAGCATTGCTGTGAGTCACACCTCAACAGCAATGGGTTTGTGAATTCTTAATTTTTTGTTATGTGGTGCCTGGCTACCACTGCCCATTGCTCTGATAAGGCGCTCAATAGAGGGAGCGTGGGTGCCTTCTCAGAATAATGTTTTAAATGCAAACACAAACAAAGAACTAAGAAAAAAAAAAAAGTCTAAAACAAAACAGAAACCATAAGAAGCCAGCCACATTGAAACAAACTAATCAAAACCTTTTACATTTGATTTAATCAACCAAATACATTTAGTCTGAATGGAGACATACGGTTGCCTGAATATCGAAACGTGGGAGACGGCCACGTATGAGCTTTCCTCATTGATGCATTAGTACCAGGGTCGACTGGAGGGTCTGACAGTCATTCTCAGGCAGGGTTCACTTTTGCTTTAAAGTACCTGCCACTGTCGTGTGATAAGAGACCATGTGGGGTTTCTGTTAGCGACAGAGTCCCAGGGGCTGCTGCTGTGGTTTGCGGCTTCTGTGCACCATCGAGGAAAATGCCACTTTCCTGTAGAGGTTCAAACACACAGATGCGGTGCTTTCCTCAGCCAGGCCCCTGGGCCACCCTTCCATCGCATACACAGGCTCTCAGACACCACGTTAACCACGGTCTGCTCGGCAGGGCTTCCCCTAACCCCACAAGACTGAGGACCGTCTTCCGGCTGGAGAATGTCTCAGTGATCTGCCCTTCCTTCCCTCTTCTGTGTAAATGATACACTGGCTGATTAACACCCTACAGATTTACACAGCGCACGAAGAAAGAACAGCCAAGGGGCACAGAGCCAGGCGTCTGAGAGGAAGGACAGTGGCAGGGGGAGGAAGAGGAGCTGGGAGTTTGGGCGGATCCTCCCCCTGGGAAGTTGGGAGGTGGTCCTTCATGTGCGCCGTGGGCGATGGGGTGTGGAAGGTGTGGAGGTGTTGCGTTTCAAGCCTCTAATTCTTTCTCCCTCCTCCTACTTCCTTAGCCCCCCTTTGACGGGGAGGATGAGGAGGAGTTGTTTCAGGCCATCATGGAACAAACAGTCACCTACCCCAAGTCGCTCTCCCGGGAAGCCGTGGCCATCTGCAAGGGGGTGAGAGCCCCCTGACCCGAAACTTCTCCAGACTCACAACCCAGGGCTGCCCTTAGCCCACACAGCACCTCTGTGCACATCAGAAAAAGGGCCCCTTCCTCAAGTCAGGTTATGTCCATCCGCTGGAAACGTTTATGGAATACATAGATTTTGCTAGAACAGTAATCTATGGCATGCCCGCCACTTTAATTCCAAGGGTGACCCATATCCCATCCTTTTTCCCCCACCTCACCTCACTGCAGGAAGTGCTCAAAGACCAGGGCCTGCCTCACCAGAGGGTGGGTCCGGTGAGCCTAACGGCCACCACGTTTCACTGAGCCTCTCTGAACCTCAATCTCCTCTTCTGGGGTTACAGAGTTAATGCACGACAAAGGGCTTGGCCCCACAGGTTTCAACAAATGTCAGTGCGCCCCTGCTTCTAGCTCCTGGGCTCCTGCTGCATGTCCCCTGACTGTCCCTCTCTGGGCTTCTGCCTCCGTGTACATGACGGGGACTTTGTGTGTGTCTGCCTCTTCTCTGTGTCACCTTCTGGGTCTCTGTCAACGCCTTTGTCATTCTGTTTTCTTCTCTCTGGGCCTCTGGGACCCTCCGTCCATGCCCACATCCTGGGCTCTGTGTCCCCTCTGCATCTCGCTCCCCCTCCCTTTCTGGGTCCCTGTCTTCCGCTTTCTCCGGGTCTCTGCCCCTCTCTGGTCACCCCCCTGTCCTTCCGCCTGGGTCTCTGCTCTCCCCTCTCTCTGGGTCTCTCACGCCTGGGTGTCGGGCTCTCTAATCTGCTGATTCTCGGGGTCTCCGCCTCCCCTCTCTTCCTCCCTATTTTCTTCCTTCTTCCTCCCATTACACTCCTCTTCCTCCCTTTGCCCTCCCTCCGCTTTTCCTCTACTATCTCCCCTCCCTCCCCCTCCCTCCTTTGGTTCCTCCCTCTCTTCCTCCCTCCCCTCCCTCTCTCCTCCCTCTTCTCCCTCTCCCCTCCCTCCCCTCCACTCCCCTCCCTCTCCTCCCTCCTCCCCTCCCCCTCCCTCTCTGGGACTCTCCCTTGCACCCTCCTCTCTCTCGGTTCCCCTGCCCCTGCGCTGTGCTCCGCCTGTGGGCGCCTGTGTTCTTTCTCCATTGGCCCTGGGTCTGTGGGTCTGGATCCCATCTCTTCCCATGGATTCTCTCCCTCCTCTTCCTTCCCCCTCCCCACCCTCCCCATCCCTCCCCTCCTCTCCCTCATCTCTGCCCCTTGCCCCCATCCCTGCCGCTTTGATCTGTCCATGGCTCTCGGTTTCTCTGTCCTGCTCTTCCTTCCCTCCCATCCTCCGGGTCTCCCTGTCTGGGACTCTGTCCGTCTGTCCACCAGTCACTCTCTGTGTTTCTCACAGTTCCTGACCAAGCACCCGGGGAAGCGCCTGGGCTCGGGACCTGACGGGGAGCCCACCATCCGGGCGCATGGGTTCTTCCGCTGGATCGACTGGGAACGGCTCGAGCGACTGGAGATCGCGCCTCCGTTCAGACCCCGGCCGGTCAGTCACCTTCTGGGAGCAGAACCCTGGTCCTTGGGGGGTGGGGAACCAGGAGGACGATGCCTGGCCATGCGTGGAGGTGCAGCAGGGGCTCCCTCTCCCGGAACACCCCCAGGGGACTGCAAAGAGTATGTGGGGCACGGGGCGTCTGCAAGAAACAGGAAAGGGGTGGTGGTTGTCGATGGGTCCCGACTCACAGGGACCCTGAGCAGTGTCAGGGTCGCCCTGGGCAACCTGTCGGAAGCACATAGCCAGGCCTGTCTTCCGAGGTGCCTCGGGGTGGGTTCAGCTGCCAACGTTGCTGCTAGTGGTTGAGCGCTTGGCCCTGTGCGCCAGCCGGGCCCTCACTGTCTGGCGACCCAGACGGGCCCCCAGACCTCACGGCCCCGTTCCACCTTCTCCGCAGTGCGGTCGCAGTGGGGAGAATTTTGACAAGTTCTTCACGCGGGCGGCGCCTGCACTGACCCCCCCAGACCGCCTGGTCCTGGCCAGCATCGACCAGGCCGACTTCCAGGGCTTCACCTACGTGAACCCCAACTTCGTGCACCCCGACGCCCGCAGCCCCACCAGCCCGGTGCCCGTGCAAGTCCTGTAATACCCCGGGGCACCACTAGGTGTCCCCATATCCCCCTGCCGCGCCAGCCGTCGCCCCACTTCACCTCCGCGCCTTCGCGTTCTCCATCCTCCTCCCCTCGTTCTGGGGTCCAGTACCCCCCAGCAGCCCTCCAGGCATTGTGGGCTCCAAGGAACCCCTAGAGCCGCCCCACGCTCTAGGCTGTGCTATGCTGGGCCCTGGGTTCCTCCCCACCCCCTCCCCAGCATTCTGCACTCTATTCTAGAGGGCTCAGGAGCCACCCCCCAACGCCATGGGGTTCCAGACCCCATCTCGATAGGTTCTGAGTCTCTCCGTCCCCCCCACCAACCTTGGGAAATAGTCTTATGGGGGGGCATCTCCAGACTTGGATTCCAGAAGGAACCCCCCACCTCCGGGGCCCCTCCCACCTCCACTCCAGTTCTGGAGGAAGTGGGAGGCTGTGCCCCCATGCTCCAGTGCCCCCCACTTCCTCGCCCTGGGGACTCCTGGGATGTATGGAGGGTTCTTCCCCACTGCCCTCAACCTGCCTCGGTCCCAGACTCCGCGATCCCAGACCCGAGACTGCTCGCCACTGCACGGCTCCCCCCCTGCTCGGAACCTCCCACCCCAGGCCTGCCACTCTCTGGGGCTCCCTTCCCCTTCGCACTGCGTCTCCCAGCGGCCACAGCGGCTGGAGAATAAACCTGGGATGTTGATGCTAAAGTGTGTTTGGGTGTTTTCTTCTGAGCTTGGAGAGTGGGGGCGGCGTGGAGGTGGGACAGCGACTTACATGGAGACAGTGACGGGGCTGGGAGGCAGAGGAAGCACAGAGACCCACAAAGACGACAGGTACCGCAGCGTGAGAGAAAGAGCAGAGGGGAGAGACAGAGAGAGAGACACAGAGACAGACACACAGAGACAGAGACACAGAGAGAGAGACACAGAGGCAGAGAGACACAGAGACAGAGAGAGAGAGACACAGAGAGAGACACACACAGAGACAGAGACACAGAGAGAGAGACACAGAGGCAGAGAGACACAGAGACACAGAGAGACAGAGACACAGAGAGATACACAGAGACAGAGACACACAGAGATAGACACAGAGACAGAGAGACACACACAGAGAGACACAGAGACAGAGAGACACACACAGAGACAGAGACACAGGGAGAGAGACACACAGAGATAGAGACATAGACACAGAGAGACACAGAGATAGAGATACAGAGAGACAGAGACACAGAGACAGAGGGAGACACACAGAGACAGAGACAGGGACACACAGAGACAGAGATACAGAAAGACAGAGACAGAGAGAGAGGGATGGGAGTACAGAAACCCAGAGAGACAGACAGACAGACGGACATAGAGAAGCGAATGTAGAAACCAAGAGAACAGAGAACAGAACAAAAGCGCCCGGCGAGAGAACCGGAGCGAGGACAGAGCGGAGCCCCGCCACACAGGGACCGGAGGGACCCGCGCAGCGAGGCAGAGAGATGCGCTCAGACCCCGGAGCGCGCCCGGAGGCCGTGGGCACGGGGCGCAGCACGCTCCCAGGCACCCAGTCCCGCGCCAGCGTCCGGAGGCCGGCACACACCGAGACCAGGGGCTGGGAGGAGGCCCTGAGAGGGGACATGAGAGGCAGGCCTCCCCACCGGCGACCCGGACACCCAAACCGAGACCCCGCCCCCAGACCCCCAAACAAGCCGAGCCCCTGAGCTTGGGGGTCGGCAGCGCGCAGGGGGCCGCGCCCTCCGGCCTCTGCCCCAGACCCAGACCCACTGGCGAACGAGGGCTGTGGAGGGGCCAGTTCAAATAGACTACACTTCCCAGCAGACGCCGCGGCGGACCCTTCCCCCAAGTGCGACCCCTCGCCGCCGGGGCTGATGGGAAATGTAGTCCCCAGACCCGGGCCGGCCAGCAGGGTGGTGTGTCTGTGTGGGTTTGGAGGGGACCGAGCCCCAAAGCTTGTCAGGCTTCCTCGGGGGCGCTGGCGCCTCCCGGTGCTTGCAGGCTCCTGGGTCCCCGCGACCCGGCCCAGCGTGATGCTGGGGCTGCCCCAGTCTCCCCGCAGCGCCAACGCGGGCCCCCCGTCTGGAGCCCGTGGGTCCCAGCCCTCGCTCCGACCCTCGGAGGGCGGCCTGCCCCTTTAAGAGTGGCCCCGCTGACATCACGGCGGGGGGGGGGTACTGGCCCGGCTCCCGGCTCCGCGGCGGATGCAGGACCCGGCTCAGCTCTGCGCCCGCCCGCTGCTCCGGGGACCCCGGCCTGGGACGCCCCCTCCCGCCTCCTCCGGCCGCCCAGACCCCGGGCTCCGCCTCTGGCTGGGCCCGAGCCCCAGTCCTCGTCAGGGGACCTCTAGGACTGGCCCCTGCTGTCTCTCCTTCTCAGGGTCTCTCTCTCTGTCTCTGTCTCTCCCCCAAGCGCAAGGTCTCTGAACCGGCATCTCTCAGCCCAAGGCCTCTGGGCGTCTCTCCGTCTCTGTGCGTCTCTGTCTGTCTGTCCGTCTCACTCTGGCCTCTCCACTCCCAAGGCCTCAGGACCTCTGAGCCTGGGAGGGTCTCAGCCTAGGTGTCTGTCTTCTCTTTTTCTCTGTGTGTCTGTCTGTCTCTCCCAGGCAGTCTGTCTGTCTCCTCTAGTCAGTCCCCAGACCGTGAGTCTCGGCATTTCTGGGCCTCAAGGTCTCCGTGTGACTCGGGGTGTGCGCTCTGCCCGCCCGCCTCTCGGGGCGCCCTGGCCCCTCTGTCCCTGTCGCCCCCCA